CTTTGGAGACCAGGCTGGCCTCGAACTCACAGAGATCCGCCTGGCTCTGCCTCCCGAGTGCTGGGATTAAAGGCGTGCGCCACCAACGCCCGGCCAAGATTTCATTTTTTAAAAAAAAATTTATGTATGCCTCTGTACTGTGTGCTTATGTCCACAGAAGCCATAAGAGGTTGGCAGATCCCCTAAACTAGAGTTAAAAGATAGTTATGAGACACCGTGTAGGTGCTTGAAATCTAGCCTGAGTCCTCTGGAAGAAAAGTCAGTGTTCTTAACCATCTCTTTAGTCCCTAAATTTTGGTTCTGCAAGCCTACATGCTATAGCTACTATCTAACATGCTGGTGGTTATGAATGAAACCTAGAATACTTGCCTGTCCTGGATCTCTCTCTATAGACCAGGCTGGCCTCTAATTCACAGAGATCCGCTCTTCCTCTCAAGTGCTGGGACTAAAGGCGTGCGCCACCACCGCCCAGCTTTATTTTATTTTTTAAAATGTTTTTATTTTTATTTTATGTGCATTGGTGTTTTGCTTGAATGTATGTCTGGGTGAGGGTGATAGGCCCCTTGGAACTGGAGTTACAGACAACTGTGAGCTGTTATGTGGATACTGGGAATTGAACTTGGGATCCCCTGGAAGGACAGTCAGTGCTCTTAATCACTGAGCCATCTCTCCAGCTCCTGTGAATTCAATTTTGAGGCAGAATTTTATTATGTAGCCCAGACTGGCTTCAGTGGTTATCCTCTTGCTCTGTCTCTTTAGTAATGGAAATAGTTTATTATTATTATTGTTGTTATTGTTATTATTTTTTTTTTTAGTTTTTTTTTTTTAAGATTTATTTATTATGTATACAGTGTTCTGCCTGTATGCCAGAAGAGGGTGTCAGATCTCATTACAGATAGTTATGAGCCACCATGTGGTTGCTGGGAATTGAACTCAGGACCTCTGCAAGAACAGCCAGTGCTCTTAACCTCTGAGCCATCTCTCCAGCCCCCTTTTTAGTTTTTTGAGACAGGATTTCTCTGTGTAGTTTTAGAGTTGTCTTGTATCTTGCTCTGTACACCTTGCTGGTTTGTTTGTTTTGAGGCAGGGTTTCTTTGGAGCACTGGCTGTCCCAGAACTTGCTATGTAGACATGAGTGGTCTTGAACTCACAGAGATCCCACCTACCTCTGCCTCTTGAGTGCTGGAAGTAAAGGCGTGTGTCACCACCCCTGACTTTGAGTGCTGTTGTGCTGCTGTTGTGCTGCTGTTGTGGTTGAGAGTGAATCGGTGCTGAACGCACACAGTAGCCAGGAGTGGTGGCTAGTGCCTGTAGTCCTAGCAGTGGGGAAGTTGAGTCAGGGTTTGCTTTGTTTTCTTTTGTTTTGTTATGACACTATCTGTGTGTCTCAGGCTGTCATTGAATTCACTATGGGACAGAGACCTCAAGACTGACCATGTTCCTGCCACTGCACTGTCGTCTTTAGTGCTGGAATTATAGGCGTTCTGCATCATGACTTGCCTTACCCTTTGATTCATGATGAATGAGAAAATTGAAGCCTTAGTTGGGAACATAACCAAAATTGAAATTAATATTTAGATTTGATGGAGAGACTTCCAAAATTCTTTCTATATTCCTAAAATTTGTGCAGGCCCTTTCTCTTTTCTCCTTTTTGTCTTCAGCCTGTAGAGAAGGGTAGTATAATAGTCACAGTGACATCTAGTGGGGAAAGCCATTAACACCGTTTTACTGATTGCTTAGCTCTATGGAAAACTACCCATTTTCAGGGGCAGTTTTAAATCTCTGGGGGTGGGGGTGGGGTGGGGTGGGGTGGGGGAAGAAATGATAATATACCAAAGAGATAGTTACACAGTCTAAACTTTCGGTTCTGAAGATATTTTCACTGATAAAATTTTTTAACTACATACAGAAATCACAGAAAATATAAAGGGGAGGGGGAAAAAATAAAGCTTCTCATTACAGTCACCAATTAAATTATGTTTGTGTACATGTGCATGACAGGCTCTCACTTTATAGCCCAGGCTGGCCTCGGTTTCCCCTGTCGTCCTGCATCTACCTGCTGGTGCTGAGATTACAGCCATGCTCCACTATTCTGTTCCCGGTGTGAATGGTCAGAGGTTTTCTTGGATAATTGGATTTTCTTTATCTTTTTTTTGGGGTCTGGGTTTCTCTCTCGAGTCCTGGCTGTCTTGGAACTCACTTTGTAGACTAGGTGAAAAGCCCAGAGATTCACCTGCCTCTGCCTCCAAAGTGCTGGAATTAAAGGCATTCACCACCACCACTGGCCAAGGGAACCAGTTTTAAGTAGATGTAAAATACATTTAAGTCTGTGCATCACATGCATGCCTGGTGCCTATAGAGATCAGAAGACAATGTCAAATCCCCTGGAACTGGAGTTATAGACAATGGTGAGCACTGATTACATTTATCTGCTGAGCCATCTTTCCAGCTTCCATGCCCAGCTTTTTTCTTCCTAGGATGCCCAGGGTTTTCTTCTTTGCTTTTCCCAGAGCTCTGTGCTTGCTCTGCCATATATCTTCAGCCCTCTTCACATTTTGGGGTTGTGGGGAGGGGAGAGGAGGTTCTCATTAAGTTGCCCATGTTATCTTCTGATTTCTCAGGCACCCCAAATGCATGCAATACACTTATACACATAAATGAATCTAAAATAAAAATAATCTTCATCTGATTGCTTGTAGATAAGTCTGTAGGCCATTTGCTTGATTAATTGTTTGATAGGAGGACCCAGCACACTGGGGGCTGGGTCTCTCTGAGGTAGGTTGTCCTAGATGGTATAAGAAACCAGGATAAGCAAGCCTTGGAGATTAAGCCAATTCTGCCCCTTGATTCTTGCCTCAAGTTCCTGCCTTGATTTCCCTCATGATGGAGTTTAACTGAAGAGTTGTAAGATAAAATAAACGCTTTGCTTCTCAAGTTGGTTGTTTTTATGCTTATCACAGCAAGATGACAGATAGGAAACCGAAAGCTCAAGCAGAGTCTTTGGAAATCTATGGAAACTAGCCTTTGGACTGGTAAAACGTTTGTCCACTGTGTAGAGGCTCTGGGCTCAGTCCCTAGAATGATGATTTGTTTTGGTTTAGTTACTGACATTTTAATTTCATCATGCTTTAGTAATTCCCAAGGTTTTGACTCTTTGTGATCTTCTTGGAAGGTCATGGCTTTAGCCACACTTCTTTACTTTGAAGAAACTGAAAATATCTAACATTTATAGTTGTTTCAGAAATGGATGTTAGAGGCAACAACTGGGTTTGCCCAAGACTGTCATTAAACTGTGCCTCTGGTTTCCTAGTTATTTTCATCACAGGAAGGCCAATCTTTAATTTATCTCAGTGTATAACTATACCATGTTTTAAGATTAAACTGTTCTTTTCTAAAACCGTTATTAAAGGGGGTAGGGCACAAATTCCAATATGATGGTGATGTCATGTTGACCTTTGTATTTGACATAGTCTTACTCTTTAGCCAAGGTTAACTTGGAACTACTGTTTAAACTTAAACCTGTAGTCCTTTGGGAGTCCCTCGGGTACTTATTTGAGAGGTTAAGTCAGAAGATTGCTTGAGCCTAGGAATTCAAGGCCAATCTGGGCAAATATAGCAAGACTTTATGTCAGAATTAAAAAAAGAGATCTTCAAGAAATCTTGCCACATGAGCCAGTGAGATGACATTGTATGTAAAGGCACTCACTGTTAAGGCTGACAGCCTGAGATTAATTCCTGAAACCCATGTGGTGGAAGAGAACTGATTTCTAAAGGTTGTCATCTGGCTTGGACAAGTATACTACACATACACCCGCTCATGGAAGAAAGAACCGTAAATAAAAGTTGGTACTGTGAATGTGATGTGTCAGTGAGTTTTCTTTTTGTTTTTTGCTTTCAGGACAGGGTTTCTCTGTCTAACAGTCCTGGCTGTCCTGGAACTCATTCTGTAGATCAGGCTGGCTTCAAACTCACAGAGATCTACCTGCCTCTGTGTCCCGAGTGCTGGGATTAAAGGTGTGCACCACGACCACCCAGCTTCAGTGAGGTTTCTAGAGCTGCTCTGTCCTACTCACTGCCTTCTCCTTTTCTTTTTATTTTAGGTGATCATGGAGCTCAGCTTGGCCTCCATGGATCTGGTGGTGATGGGATGCATGATGAGACAGCAGGTGGAGAAGAAGGAGAGAACAGCCCTGATCCCCAACCCCAAGCTGGTCGGAGGACTCGGCGGGAAGCATGTACATGCCCCTACTGTAAAGACAGTGAAGGAAGGTGAGTTCATTTTCTTGAATATAGAATTTGTTTTGTTTTTTGAATATAAATAAGTAATGGACTTAGAAGTAAGAGGAAAAGGGTACGTTTTATTATTTAAGACAGGAGGGAGCCAAGCATGGTTCTAGCACTCGGAAGGCAGAGGCAGGTTTAGTCTACAAAGTGAGTTCTGGGATAGCCAGCGCTTTACACAGAGAAACACTGTTCACGAAACAACAACAACAGAAAATCAAACAAACACAGGAGGGCTGGGTGTATAGCTCATTTGGTAAAGGGCTTACCTAGCATTTATGGAGTCCCGAGTTTGAGTCCTAGCACTGCATAAAGCAGTTGTGGTCACACATCCTGTAATCCCATGTTGTGTGACAGACTCTTCCTGGGGAGATGCAACACATACATGTACCTACTTAACCCCAGAATGTGTAGAGAGTGCATAAAGTGAGGGTTTTGACACCAGATGTATTAAATGAGGACATGACCACTCCAGGGTATGGTTGAGGGGAAGTTTTTATTGTAGATGTAAGAGAGAATACAGCCAGAGTCCAGAGCAGGGAGAGAAAGTAGAGTAAACATGGACAACAGATTGGACCCAGCCATGAGAGGAGAGAGAAGAGGGAAGAGAGTGAGAGAGGAAGACAAAGAGAGGAAGATGAAAAGGCAAGAGAGTGTTTGTTGGAAATGGCAGGGTTGTATGGAAATGAGAAGCTTGGTGAGGAAAGCCTCTGATCTGGAGAAGTGTAGGGTAGGGGTGGGGTGAGAAGAGCCAGGATGAACTCTGTAACAGGTATTTGCTATGTTGAGAGAGGCTGGAGGCCAGCATGTGCTTTGGTGTGCTAATAGGCACCACAGTTGGCCATTTATACCTAACAAAGATCCCATGACAGAACAAGTATGGTACCAACAAAGCCCAACTGGGTAAACCAGGGAGTTTTATTGGGGTTAGTTAAAGGAATACGGGGCGAGGAGTAACTTACAGAGAAGGATCAGAAGTGACTCAAAGACAACGAAATCCCCAGAGCCTACCCAGCATGGATGACTGCACTGCACAGCACCCAGGCAGCCCAGTGGGTGACGTGTACCCCTTTCATGTAGAACAGTGGTCTAAGCCCCTTCAAGGCAGCTCTCTGGGCTCTTTAGAGTCTTCTCTTTTGCAGCTTGGCTTGTCTGAGAGTAACTCTCAGCAGTTTTTTTTACTCTTGGAAGGGGCCTTGTGAGTGTGATCAGTTTCAGGGGCTTTCTGAAACTTTGAGTTGTTCATCCTCTGAGAGATAGTGTTTTAACCCCCGAGGATATTGATTCCTACACAACATCCCAGCACTTGGGAGGTGGGATCAGAAATATATTTTATATCTGGTTCTTTGGCCAGGTATGCTGGTTTATGCCTTTCATCTCAGCACTTGGAGACAGAGGCAGGCCAATCTCTAAGTTTGAGGCCAGTCTGATATACAGAGTGAGTTTTATGAGACAAGGTCTCACTATTCGACCTCATAGAGATCTTTTTGATTTTTCAAGACAGAGTTTCTCTCTGTAACAGTCCTGGCTGTCCTGAAACTGGCTTTGTAGACCAGGCTAGCCTTGAGATTCACCTGCCTCTGCCTCCCAAGTGCTGGGATTAAAGGCTATTGTAGAGATCTCTTACTTCTGCCTCTCAAGTGTTAGAATGAAAGACATGTGTAACCACGCTCAGTAGCCCTTATTTATTTATTTATTTATTTTTTGAGACAAAGTCTCTATATAGCCCTGGCTGTTCTAGAACTCTCTATTCAGACCTGACTGACCTCGAATTCACGGAGATACTCCTGCCCCTGCTTCCCCAGTGTTTGTATTAAAGATGTGAGACACTCCACCCAGCTCCTTTTATTTTACATGGACTCGGTCTTGCTATATATCATTGCTTGACCTTGAATTTTTGGTTCTTGTGTCTCGGTCTCCTAAGTAGCTGAGATTATAAGGATGAACCTGCCTTCCTTTCTTTCACCTTTAAGATTTAGGTCTAGAATAATGGCTTAGGTTTTTTTGTTTTGTCTGTTTGAAGTTTTTTTTTTTTTTTTTTTTTTTTTTGAGATAGGATTTCTCTATGTAGTTTTGGCTATCCTGGAACTTGTTCTTGCACATAAAAATAAATAAAAAGAGAGCAAGTGCTGTGGGATAATGCTCTTATACAAATAAAAGCTCTTGTTAATAACATGTTGATTGGCCAGTAGCCAGATAGGAAGTAGAGGTGGAGCAAACAGAAGAGGAGAAGGCTGGGAAGAGGAAGAGCAGAGTCAGGATTCACCACCCAGACACAGAGGAAGCAAGATGACAAGGCAGAACTGAGAAAGGAAAGGGTACCAAGCCACGTGGCTAAACATAGATAAGAATTATAGGTTAATTTAAGTGTAAGAGCTGGTTAGTAATAAGCCTGAGCTAATGGCCAAGCAGTTATTATTAATATATGCTTCTGAATGGTTATTTTATTTTATTTTTTGGTTTTTTCGAGACAGGATATCTCTGTAGTTTTGATGCCTGTCCTGGATCTCGCTCTGTAGACCAGGCTGGCCTCACGGAGATTCACCTGGCTCTGCCTCCCGAGTGGTGGGATTAAAGGCGTGCACTGCCACCACCACTCAACTGAAGTTTCCCAAGGGGGGGGGGGGCGCGGGCCGCGGTGAGACCCGAGAAACATTCCAGCTGCAAACAAGGGCTAGTAAGGTACAGCTTCCTGGTACGGCACTTGCGTTTCAAAGAAGTATGTGAGAGAGTCAGTGAAGCCAGGTTTGTTAGTGATACACACCTGCTACCCTCGCACTTGGAAGGTATAGGTAGAAAATTGCAAATTTGAGGCCGATTTAGTGTAAAAGCCAGTTCAAGACCAGCATGAATTAAATAAAAGAGACTGTCTCAAAAAATAAACAAAAATCTCATGGAGCCAGGCATGATGGTGCATATCTGTAATCCCCATCACTAAAGAGGCAGAAGGATAACCCTAAGTTTGAGGTCAGCCTGGTCTACATAGTGAGTTCCAGAGTAAGTTGGACTACATATTGAGACCTTATCTCAAAAATAGGTAAGCAAATAAACTCACAAGCTGGAGATTAACTCAGTGGTAGAACACTTGCCTAGCATTCAGAGTCAATAAGAAATCAGAGCTAGAAATAAGAGCTGCATAGTATGACCTACTCAGATATACTATATTAGCCCTTTGCAACATCTCACCCCATCTCCTGAGTGCTGGGTTGTTGTGTAGCAATATTCCCAGGAATCAAAACACTCCCTCTCTTCCCTGAAACCAGCAGTGGTTCAATATTTAAGAACGCTTGCTGCTCTTGCTGAGGTCCAAAGTGGCAGCTCATAGCCATCTGTAACTCCAGTTCCATAGGATCTGGAATCCTCTTCTAGCCTCTTTGGACACAAATATTCGTGTAGGCAAAACATCCATACACTAAATAAATAAATCTTAGAAAAAGATTTCAGGCTGGCTAGGAATAGCGGCACATGCCTTTAATTTAAGAAGTGGGTAGAACTTTATGAGTTCAAGGCCTACATAGTTCTAGTTTAGCCAGAGATTACATGTTGGGATCCTATCTCAAAAACAAACAAACAAACAAACAAACAAACAAACAAAAAACCCCAACAACAACAACAAAAAAAACAAAACCAAACATAATATGTGTGTATAGATTTAGGGATGTAATCTGTTCCTCTTTGGCCTAGAGAAATGGAAGTCAGATGGAGCTAGCTAGCCTAATGAGTACCACCAAATATCTGTTGTGATGGTTTTTATAAGATTGCCTGTAGCTGGGAGGTGGTGGCTCCCATCTTTAATTCCAGCACTCAGTTGGCAGAGGCAGGTGGATCTCTGTGAATCTGAGTTCAGCCATTGCGGGGCGGTGGTGGCGCACACCTTTAATCCCAGCACTCGGGAGGCAGAGCCAGGCGGATCTCTGTGAGTTCAAGGCCAGCCTGGACTACCAAGTGAGTTCCAGGAAAGGTGCAAAGCTACACAGAGAAACCCTGTCTCGAAAAAAAAAAAAAAGTGTGTGTGGGGGGGAATTGCTTGCTTAACATCAATGAATAGAAACCCACCTCTTGTAATTTTTTTTTTTTTACTGTAACTTTAGGAAAATTACGTTTTCACATTTTCACAGTTATGCTATCACTCAAAAAGAGAAATTTACTTATTCCAGGCGGTTTTTTTTTTTTCCCTTTCTCTCGGTTTTTCTGTGTAGCCTTGGCTGTCCTGGAATTCACTCTATAGATCAGGCTGGTCTTGAACTCAGAGATTTGCCTGCCTCTTGCCTTTGCCTCCCAAGTACTGGGATTAAAAGTGTGTGCCCCACCACCCATCTCTTACTCAAGATGTAATATTTTTCCACGAGATTTTTCTTTCCTTTAAATTTGTTTTCTTAAAGATTTACTCATTTTTATTTTGTGTATATGAGTGTTTCTTGCTGTATGCATGTATGCCATGTGCATGTAGGTACTACCTGTGGAACCCAGGAGAGGACGTCTAATTCCCTGAAAAAATTAATTTACTTAGTTGGGAAGCTGTGTACCATGGTACACATGTAAAAAGGTGGGAGTCACTTGAGGGAGGGGTCCAGGGATTAAGTTTACCTGCTGAGCTCTCTTGTTGGCCTCCTGAATTGCTTTTTCTTACTAGCAGCTGTTATTAGACTTTAACAGTTCTCTAAGTCTTACTCTTCCCCTTGTAGTCACTGTATCTAGAGTAATTTAGTCTTTACAAGTCCCTTTAAAAGATCTCTTAGAAGTTTTGTCCCAAAGTAGCTCATGCTTGTAATCTCAGCATTCAGGAGACTAGGATAAGAACATTACTGAAAGTTCCAGGCTAGCTTGGGTACCAGTGTGAGACTCTGCCTTAAACAAACAAGTTTTATCCCGTTAAAATCAGCACACACACACACACACACACACACACACACACACAAAGTACCAAAACAAAATAACTTGTCTTCTGTAGCATAGCCTGTGTTCCAGGGAAAACAGCAGAGCAGCCGGGCGGTGGTGGCACACACCTTTAATCCTAGCACTCAGGAGGCAGAGGCAGGCGGATCTCTGTGAGTTTGAGGCCACCATGGTCTACAGAGCAAGATCCAGGACAGGCACCAAAGCTACACAGAGAAACTCTGTCTCGAAAAACCAAAACAACAACAACAAAAAACCAAAAACAGCAGAGCAGGTATTTTTTGGTGTTGTTGGTTTGCTTGTTTTTTGAGATAGTATTTTGCTGTGTATCCCTGGCTGGTCTGGAACTATGTAATTCAGTCTGGCTTCAAGCCTGTTCTTTATGCCTTTACGTTTTGAGTACTGGAATTCCAGGTATGCATCACCACATCTGGCTGACTTGTAGCAGTTTTTGGTGGTGTTGAAAGATCTCACTGTAACTTTGGGTGGCCTGAAACTCATTATGTACTGGGCTGGATTCAAACACACAGAGTTCCACCTCCCTCTACATCTTGATCACCACGGTTCCCAGCCTAACTTGTAGTTTTCAAGGAAGTTCTCTGATTTACGTGTTCTTAAAACCCCCAAAATTTCCCTCTTAGAACTCTTATTGGTACCCACAAATGGGTCATACATAAAATAAACTTGGCTTAGCAAAGACATTATAGAACTTGGCTAGCATAATTTTGAGACTTGAAGACAGACAGGGTCTTGCTGTGTTACCTGGTCTGGGCTGAAGTAGTCCTCCTTTAGTCCCCCAAATAGCTAGGATTACAGACATGTACTGTTGCACCTGTCTGTCTGTTTCATTTCCTGTAAGTTTTATCCAACCCTTTCTCCTTTCTCCGTTAAATTTCTGATGCTGTGCTTGGCAGGCAGCTCAGTGGCTAAGAGTACTTGCTATGAAAATAAGAGGACCTGAGTTCAAGTCCTTAGTACCTCTCACCCTTTTGGAGGAGTAAGTAGGGCAGGCTTTCTCTATGTAGCCCTGCCTGTCCTGCAACTTACTATGTTGACCAGACTAGCCTAGAATTACACCACCACAACTGGCTAGTCCCCAATTTTTTTTTTCCCCTTCAAGACAGGGTTTCTCTATGTAGCTTTGCACCTTTCCGGGAACTCACTTCTGTAGCCCAGGTTGGTCTCGAACTCACAAAGATACACGCCTGTCTCTGCCTCCCGAGTGCTGGGATTAAAAGCATGTACCACCACTGCCTGGCTAGCCCCCATTTTTTTTTTTAAAGATTTATTTATTTATTATGCATACAGAAGAGGAAGCTGTAGATGTAACCATTCGTCTTACTAAAATAAGAAACACAGAACCTCAGAGATTTTTTTCCACAGGGAGCTAGATCTCATTACAGATAGTTGTGAGACATCATGTGGGTGCTGGGAATTGAACTCAGGACCTCTGGAAGAACAGTCAGTGCTCTAACCTCTGAGTCATCTCTCCAGCCTCGCTAGCCCCCATTTTTAAAAACATCTCTGAGGAAGATAATCTATAAGTTGGAATTTGGAAGCTAAAAACTACAATCAGCTGAAGATTTATCATTGATGCCAAGTGTGGTGGTGGCTCATACCTATATAATTCCCGTGCTTGGAAGATAGAAAAAAGAAGATTAGGAGATCAAAGTTAGTCTTGGCTATCTGTATAGTAAGTTTGAGGCCAGCCTGAGCTATATGAGACCCAGCCTCAAAGCTCTTTTCCGTCCTCCCCCCCCCCCAAAAAAAAAAAAAAAGCGTGTACAGGGTTGGAGGGGATGCAGATTATAACTTAGTATAACAGATCCTGGGATGGATAGATGGCTCTGTGGTTAAGAGCACTGACTGCTCTTCCAGAGGACCCAGGTTCAATTCCTAGCACTGACATGGCAGCACACAACTGTAACTCCATTTCCAGGGGATCTAAAACCCATGGCAAGACACTAATGCATATAAAATAAAATAATAATAAAAAGAGCTTGCCTAACCTGCTTAATCAAGATTTCAAAGGCAGCCTGTGTTACATAAGATATTATCAAAAAACAAACAAAACAAAACCCCAAAGAAATAGGGGGCTGCAGAGATGGCAATAGTTAAGAACTTGCTACCTGAATTCAGTTCCTGGCACCCACATCAGGTAGCTCATAACTGCCTATGACTCCAGCTACAGGGATCTGATGCCTCTGGCTTCTTCAGACACCTGTGTTCTCATGCATACACCCACACACAGACAAATATTTTTTTTCTTTTTTAAAAGGTTTATTTGTGTATGTCCCTGCAGCTAATAGTCCAGAAGAGGGCTCTAGATTCTCTGAATCTGGAGGTGTAAGCTACCCGGTATAGTTTCGTTGTTTCTTCCACCTCTTCTTCTTCTTCTTCTTCTTCTTCTTCTTCTTCTTCTTCTTCTTCTTCTTCTTCTTCTTCTTCTTCTTCTTCTTCTTCTTTCTCCTTCTT